ACTGACTCTCTACTCACCTCTTCAGGGACGCGTCGGGGGTTCGTATACCTCAGCCTGTGACACAACCACGCACCGGACGCAAAGGCCGCCCGCGCAAGTTGATCTCAGACGCATACCTCCGCCATGCCTTTGACCCCTCACGGCGCATATCTGTATCGAAGGTTGCTTCCGTTCTGCGCGTTCATCGTCATACCGTCCGCAACTATATGAAAGCTTATGGGATCAAGCACCAGTATACTCCGCTTAGTGATGCGGAACTCGATCTCATCGTACGCAAGTTCAAGCAGCAGAAGCCCAAGGTTGGATGGCGGTACATCATGGGATTCCTCTCCTCCCGTGGTGTCCGGGTGCAGAAGGTCCGGATTCTTCTTGCTCTTCGACGTGTCGACGGTCTCGGGCGTACCCTTCGGGCCCACTCTGCTATCCGACGGCGGAAGTATCACTCATCCCGCCCCAACGCCATCTGGCACTGCGACGGCCACCACAAGCTCATCCTGTGGGGTATCGTGATACATGGATTCATAGATGGTTATTGTCGTACGGTACGCACCTGTCCCACTGGTACTCTCTACTGACTACTGACATTTTTGAGTCTATGTAGGTTGTTGGGCTTCGTGCTAGCACCAACAACACTGCAAAGACAGTTCTCGATGTCTTCCTCAAGGCTGTTAGTGCCCATGGGACGCCGTCACGCGTCAGGGGTGACAGGGGCGGAGAGAATATTGAGGTGTCGGTCTGGATGATACTTCGGCGTGGTGCCAACAGAGCGTCTTTCATGTGGGGATCGTAAGTTTTATGTTCATCGTCATTGACCTGTCATTGATATTTCCCATAGGTCAACCCACAACACTCGTATAGAACGCCTATGGGTCGAGGTCGGGCGCCACTTCTGTCGCTCGTGGCGCGCGTTCTTCATGCGGCTTGAGCGGTGCCACAACCTCGACCGCCACAATCCTCAGCATCTCTGGCTACTCCACCTCCTCTTCTTGGACCAGATAAACGCCGATTGTCGTGAGTTTCAGGATCAATGGAACGCTCATCCTATCTCGGGACTAGATACGCATGACATGAGTCCCCAGGTAGGCTTTCCTCGTCCCTCTTCTGGATCATCCACGCTAACGACACTTCTCTTTCCAAGGATCTGCGGTTTGTTGGTCAGACGGAGCATGGAATATATGCAGACACAGACGACTGTGCTGGAGTCAGCGAAGACGACTTGCATGAGTACTATGGTACAACCCCTGATGCTGCCATGCGTCCTCGCCGGCGAGAGCACACCGGCGCGGGTCACCCTCCAGAAGAAGATGAATCAGATGATGAAGGCGAAGAAGACGGGCAGTCAGATAACGAGGCTGACATCGCAGCTTCGCAGCATGCGAACATCCGTCATCCTGGAGTGGCTGTCCCTAATCACCAGTCTCCCCTGCAGTCTGACGAGCTTGAGACAGTCTTTTACACTGCTCTTGATGCACTCCGTTCATGTGGCCATGTGCCCGCTGGGTATGGGGCGCGCGATGACGAGCTGGAGTTGGAGGGTGGTTTTGAAGAGATTGAGATCATACGTTATGGCCGCCAACGGCGTAAAGAGCTCGAGATTGCTCTGCCAGAAGCTGTATGGGCACCTCGCATGAGGCTATGGGCGCAGGGGTTACATGTACTCAACCAAATTCTGTACGATGATGAGAATGTGAGTGACTCGTAGCACTAGTAAATGTGATGGTGGTGTGAAGGTCCCCGTCCCGCCCTGCCGACAGCTCAGCCGACCGCGCCCGCTGCCAGCAGGCGGCACTGCGGTTCGTTCGTTCTCCTCATTCATTCTACAGTACACACACCTCATAGCTCAGCTTACACACTCCTTCAGTCCAGTAACGTATCAGTTTCGCTCTCCGATGTCATCTCCTCAGGCTGGACCCTCCTCTCGCCCACGCCGTCTCAAGATGTGCCCTGTGGTCGACGAGGACACCGGCGCGGAGTGCCAATGCGGCGGGCTCATCGATCACGATGCTGACAAGTCATCTGGGAAGGCCATATCCGGAAAGGCGACCGACATCCTGAAGAGTCTTCTCCAGCAGGCACATACGGAGACAAATCACAACTTCCGGCCGCGTCCAAGTACTTCCAGTGACAGCGCACCTGCCAGTGGACATGCTGGAAAGTCGACATCCCGCCAAGGTGTCAAGTCGAGCATGAAAGTCCGTTGAGTACTGCTTGTCTATCCGATGACACTCATACTCACCAATAACTCAGCCGAAGGGACACGGCGGTCGAAAGGGTAGCACCACTGCCGTGGCTCGAACCCGTGCAAGCTCCGGTACCGGGAGACAGTCCTCAAGTCAGTTCCGTATTGCACAGGTGGTTGTATTGCCGTATGGTATAGATGTGAGTCCGCACTTATCGTGTTCTTGGGAACATGTCTCTGAACCTCGCATCACGTTTAACAGGCTGAAAGCGAAGAGCTTCCTACATACTATGCGAAGACTCCTGGAAAACTCAAGATCCAAGAGCTGGCCCAGCGCGGTCTTGCGTATATCCCGAAGGAGGACAATCCACTGGTGGTGGACAGCCGCTGGACGGCGTGGGAGGCGTGCAGGTTTATGAAGGACACCTTTCCGCTCCTTTTCAACTATCTCGCTTCTGAGGACCCGCTTCTCCTGGAGTACGATGCGCGCACCAGTCCTGACTACAAGCTTCCTTATTGCCTTCTTGTTGCGGAGAGGAAAAAGCTCTCTGTGGTGCCCCTAGAGTCACAGAACCCCGACGGCAACGACTTCCGCTTCAATAAGTCTCGAGCACAAGCAAGTTGGCGGGACTCATGCCTATACTTCGGTAAGCAGACCACTCACGAGTCAGGCCATGACATGCACAACTCATATGATGTACTCACACGAATTGTTCCTCCAGCAACCCTTGACGCAATCCCCCCGTCTGTCTATGAGAAATGGAAGACTCGGGGTGGCAGTTCTTCGACCAAATCCATTCCGCGCGGCGGGTCCGAGCCTGACCCCGGGTCACCGGCTCCCAGCTCTCACGGCCTCTTCTCCAGTCGACCCAGCAGTCCCGCCACAAGTGACCGCCGCGAACAATCTGCTGACCCGGCATCCGAGTCGGACGAGAACTTGAGCCGGCTTGAGCAGAAGAAACCACTTGTCCGTGCTCGCTACCAAAGTAGCTCACGGAAGGCTTCGTCTTCAAAGTGGAAGGGAAAGGGAAAGGGTAAAGCGGTTGCACTGTCCCCGATCCGTGAAGGTAAGCACCGGCGGTCTGCCACGAGAGAGCTTCTCTGGAGCTACTACAATCTCACATGCCTGTTCAGATTCACCTCCTTCGCAAACCCTAGGCAAGCGCGGCCGCCGTCAGACTATCCAGCTGTCGGATGTTGACTCACAGGATGATACTGATGACGAGGAAATTGAGCGCGGGCTCTCTGAGTACCTCTCCTCTGAAGCCGGAACTACTACAACTACACCGTCGGCTGCGAAGCGCCGCCGTCTGTTTGCCCCATCTACTTGTACGTGTCCTAGCTGATATGGAAAGATTTTTACATGCTCATATCTGTATTGGACTAGCACCAGAGCGCATGGACATTGCGCAGCCTGTCATTGATCTCACGAACAGTGATAACGAGCAGGAAGCTACCACCAGACGGTCATCGCAAGCCTCTGGCTCTAGCAACAGCGCCGCCATCCTTCCGACCCTTCTGTCTCCGCCATCTCCTGCGCCCCAGCCCCCTGCGTCCCAGCCCGGAGACGCGCTCCTCTACGGGCTAATGAGTTCTCCAGCTCAGGGCTCTGGTAGCGGTGAACTTGGGAGCGCGAGCAGCGGGAGAAGATGTTCGAGTTCTAAAGGAATGTCTCTCACTGGACCTATTGATTCGCTCACAGTGCTGTCTAGTAGCCTCTATGCCCTCTCAATGTTCACGTTCATGCACATTACCTATGAGACTCCGCCTACTGCCCCTACTGCCCGCAGTCCACTAGTTTGCCTGTTCCGCTCTTTTGCGCCTGTTTGCTCCGACGCCTGTCCGCTCTCTTACCATACACTCCTCGTAAACATATGACATACCCTGCATACCCCGTATACATCTCTCTCGCTACCCGTCGCATCCTATTTCTAACATACATACCACTCAGTTTAATACATCAACTAATTTTGTTGCCGTACAACTCTCCGAGTCTTTCTTCAAGGCCGCCTCCATGCTTCAATCCGAAGTCCTTCAAGTTCGTGTGCTCAGAGTGCAGTGTCACACAGGCGGTCAGCAGGCTGGCAGTAACCGGCAGAGGAAGGAGAGTGAAAGGCTCCGGGTACTGGCATTGATTCCGGACATGGTCTGTCAAGCCTGAGGCCTGCCAGTGAGGGCGGTCGAGCTCCGTCAGCCTCCGCTGCCTCCTGCAGCAGGACCATGTTGGCTCTGGCTCTTCTGTACATACACGAGGTGCGTGCATCGTTTTGAATACATAGCAATACTAGACTCCTGTAGGTCTGACGAGAGCTATGCATTCATGAAGACCTATCTATGATCCATGGCAAGAGTTAGTCGAAAAGCAGCAGCAGCCTGGAGGCGCTGATGTATCCAAATCGGGAACATTGACCCTCCCGGATTAAGCTGTTATCCTTACAGCGCGGTACAGTATTTGTTAACAGATAGATGTTACTCTATAGCCGGTAGCCTATTGTAAGCTTAGTTTTGCTTAGCGGCTTAAGCCACGGGCTCAAGGGCTGCTATTAGTTCGGGTCTGGGCGTCTCCCAAGTCCCAATCGGGATATTGGCGCCTCAAACGGGCGTCTAGCCCGCAAACGCGGGGGAACATGGCATACAAACCGCGGGATATTGACTACATTTTTTGTACACATTGAACGGTATAGCCTCTTGATCTCTTCTTACCTTCCTGATGTCAGGAGCGTCCTATCATGGTTCTGAATGTCAAAATAACCTTGAACGCGGAGCAAAATTTCGATGACCTCCTGCGAGGAGAAAAAAACTCTCTTAAATGAGTTGCAATGGGCCTGGCCGGGAATTGAACCCGGGACCTCCTCCATATTGCGTAAACCCGTGTTGAACCAGACACAGGAGCGCCCTAAGAAGGAATCATACTACTAGACCACCAGGCCATGCGTGGCAAGCACGCAACGATATACTTCGGCCTGACTAAGGCCGAGGTACATTCAATGAAGCAAGAGGCGAAAGTACGTGCTGTCAAACATAGCGCATCACTCTATCCAGCCCTTCTCGTAGCAGTCTCATCTGGATTGGCGTAAGCTCCCCACCAGCCACAAGCTCTTGCAGCCACTCATCACGCGTTTCCATCGTCGCGAAGAGCTCCAGGTAGTCTTGCGTCTGTATTCCCATCATATCGAAGAGCTCCGCAATCCGGATGGAGTCCGGTCCTGGTATCCGCAAGCTTGCCAGGAAGCTTGAAACGATCGTACGACTGTGCGCTTTCGGACCTAGCGGGTTGTAGTACTCGACCTCAGGGGATGCCTCCCTGGATGCTAAGCGATGCGCTGAGGACAAGGGCGTGAGGGTACTTGCAGACACATGAGTAGAGTTGTGGTCTTCGTCGCGTTTTGCCCCTACTCAGCCCGGTCATGATACAGACTGTCCGTAGCAGACTCCCATTACATACCTACAAGTGACGTTTGGCGTCCCTGCGCCCGACCCCGGCTAGCTTCCTCCGTTGCTTGCCTTTGTATGAAACCCGCCGAGTCACGACTCGGTCCGGGGCGTGCAGCCTTGCTTGCAGATGCAAGCTGGGATTTTGAAACCTCTCTTTCCTTCGACTTGAAGACCGGGCAGAAGTCAGCATGTACAGATACTGCATGTCGAACAGTGACGACTTACTCTTGGGCCTGCCGACTTGCTCGCCGGCCGTCTCGCGGAATTCTGGCCCTTCTTCACGTGGAGGTTCTTGAGATAGATTTGAATATACCTCGATACGGGCCACCCGTCCTCGTATCGATTGAGCACGGCGCACTCTTTTGCGACCTATGAGATCCAGCATTAGTACATGAATTTGTGATAAGAAGCGGCGACGGACCAGGTCTTTGACGGTCCGCAGGACTTCCGGCCGCTGTTCGCGATAAGTCGACGGCCGAAGATCGAAGTGCTGCACCGCAGCCTCCCTTGTCGCAGCCTGCGTATGCACATACATGAACATCCACCCTGCACACAAGTTGCAGCCAGGCAAAACTTACTGTCATCGCTTCCAGTTGACTGCGGTCGTCCTGAAGACCCATCTGTGACTGCAGGGACGGCTTTCCAGCCTTGTTGGTATACAAGTACTTGGCCTCGACTTTGGGAGCCGGAATGCGCCTCTGTGATCCTGGGGAGTGTTCTGTGAGTTCTCCTCACATGCACGAACAACGACGAAGCTGACCATGGTCGTGGGACGGCATCTCAAAGGAAGGCGAAGTGGGCTTGGGGAAGAGTGAGGCTCGGTCAAGATGGGAGAGCGTACTGCGGTTGTACTTAAAAGCAAGCGGACATTAGGAACGACCCTGAGTAGTTCAGGGTCGGGATTGACCTGACAGCACGTACCTGCATGTGACATGCTCTGAAGACGATGGATATGGAATACGAAGGGTACATATGCGAGTAGGTTCAAGATGATAGAGCAAAACGAGCGCTATGCAAATACTTCTGTCGATGAAGGGATACGACGTACACGTGTGTGGTGTAAGATCACTCAGCGGCCCCGCCTCTCCTCCGGCGACTCTTGATAGCTTCCCTATGCCGCCGCTTCCACCCAGCAGTCAGCTCGCCCTTCGTCTCCTCCCAGCGCGTCCGTATGGCTTCGGGCGAATCGGTGCGATAGAACCACGTTTTCCAATCTGTCGGATCCAGAACGCGCCGCCTCCCACCCGATTGGTCGGAGGGGAAAAACAGGGGTCGTGAATGGTCGAGTAACACAACATGGGGTATTCGGGAGGATGTGCTAGGCTGAACAGGAGCCGTAGGTCGCAAAGGTGCAGATGCTGCGGCAGGAGCGGGGACGTCGAAGGGGACGTCATCGTCGAGTTCGAGGTCTAGGTCCAGATGGCCGAGAAGAGAGAAGCCCGCTAGTGACGAGAGAAGGGATGAGCACGATGTGTATTTAGAAGCGATATATCACGTACCATCCTCTTCACGAGGAGCGAAAAGATCCTTCAGTTTCGCCTTCGTCCCTTCCGGCGCCGAGACGGTTCCCTGAGTGATTGGTGGTGGTGATGGTTCCAGATCCGGTTGCTGCTCATCAACATCCATGGAGTCCTGGACGTCGTCCACGCCGTCGGCTGCGGAAATGTTGCGGTGGCCATGGTCACGCCCGACCTCTTCCTCGACGTCGGATCCTACGCTCTCCGCACCGCCCCATTCTTCCTTGTCGCCAAACAGAGACTGTAAGAGACCGAGGGTCTGATTCTTCTCTTCAGCGAGTTCGCTGTCTATGGAAGACTGGGGTACGGATTTCGTTGCGGTAGCAGGTCGGGCAGGCGCTGCCTTGATCGTTGTTGGAACTGGAGGCGGCAAACTGGGAGATCTCTCCTTGTCACTTTCCTCGGACGAGTGCTCAGAGTCGCTCTCGCTTTCTGAGTTTTGGGATCCTTCAGAGCTTTCATCGTCGACGGGAGCTGCAATCGGTTCGTGACGCGACGGTGCTGGGTACGTCACAGCCGCGTTCTCCAAGAAGATACCCTTGAGGTGCTGCGAGCCCCATTTCGTCGGGTCGATTGTTTTCCTCCTTGCGCGCGAGGGCGGCTCACGCGTGCGTGTCTTGACCCTCGCTCCGCTCTTCGTCTCCTTCTTGGATGGCTTGGCCGTGTCAAGGGGCTCGGGAAGGGGATGTGCTGGCCGCATGCGCATAGGCCGGATGAGACGTCCAGTGGGTGTGACGCGCCAGCCGCCGCGCGTGGACACGTTCTCTGGGGTGACGAGAGACATGTCTCGGGCATGTACGCCTTGAACACTGCGGGGAAGACGGCGACGTTTATGGGCAGGCTCGTCCGCAGATGCCTCAGCGGCACGCTTAAGCTCATCGTGTTCTTTCTGAATGCTGAGAGATCTATGAGACGGCCAACACGGCCAAAGCACAGACAAGCTCGGGATATGTCGTACCGTTCGCGGTAATCCGGCTTAGCCTCTCCAAGCCGTAATTTAGCACCTTTCCATGTGACACCGCTGAGGAGGTTCATGCCTACGAGCCAGTTCAGCAGCATTTAGAGGATAACAGGAATGTAACGCACATCGAGCCAATTTGCCCTTGGTCGTCTCCAGCGTGACATACGCGAACTTGCGCGGTTGACCCACAGCATCCAACAGTCCGAACCCGTCGATCGACTTGACCGTGCCAAAAGATGATAGTCGATCAGACAGGTCTTTGGCGGTAATGGCTGGTGTAAGGCCCGAGATGTGTACGCGTTTCGTGATGGCTTCGTCCATCGTCGAAGATATCGTCGCGCAGCAGCAAGGGATCCGGAGAGGGACTAGTACTTGAGAAACAACACTCCGCGCTTGTTACGGAGGTGGAGACGAGGGGGACAACAGACTTGAGGATGTGGGGATATGTATGAGGAATCAGAGGAGGTCGTTGAGGGACGAGGAGCTACAGGCTGGCAAGCGAGCCTAGGCCCTACGTTCAGGCTGAGACTCGGAGGAAATTCTTGTGTGGCCGAGTCCGAGGTTATCGGAGACGCGCTCCTCCGCGTCTGGTCGACTCTCGCGCAGTGACGGACACCTGCGGATACCTCGTTGTCGACCACCACCGCGTCCACTCGATGAGCAAATCCCTTCGGACACGATGGGGTCCCGTACGGTCGTTGCTGTGCCTAGCACCTCTGCTTGTTGCTGCACCATTTTACGCGTACACAGCGCACTACGGTATGTGAGCTCGTCGATGTTCTGACCGCACGGTCCGCTGACGTTGCCGTATTTCAGCTCTTCCTGCGCCGGTGGTTGAACTGTGAGTACGCGGGCACATATGCGGACGGTAGCCAACATGACATTCTCCCAGATACGACTCTGTGACATCGCTTCCCCAGCTATCCGAGGCACAAATCCTTGCACACGCGAAGTACCTGTCTGAAGATATTGGATATCGCACCGTTGGCACGCGCGAACATGCCCTTGGAGACGCGTGGATGTTGCAACAGGCGGAGGCCCTGCGCTCGGAGTGCGAGGCGGTCGTGCGTGCGCATCCTGAGCGGAAGTTGCAGTGCGAAGTCTGGCACCAGCAAGGAAGCGGCAGTCATAGGTGCGTGTTTCCCTCATATGCCACTCCGAGAAGTGGGGTTGAACGTGTCATGCCAGGTTTGACATGATGGGCAAACGGTTGTACAAGACGTATGTCAACCTGACGAATATCATCGTACGCGTCTCGGATGGCACAGACCAAGGGAAACAACACGCCGTCCTAGTGAATTCGCACGTGGATAGCACGCTGCCCTCCCCCGGTGCAGCAGATGACGCCATGTCCGTCGGGGTTATGCTCGAGTGTATCCGGGTGCTCACGTATTCTCCGGAGTGGGAGCCGAAACATGCCATAGTGTTCTGTAAGTCATTGTCGTCCTACGCGCATTGCACAACTCATTCTTCCCGTCTCTTGGCGCTTACTGCAACATCAAGTGTTCAACAATGCGGAGGAATCGCTGCAGGATGGGTCCCACCTATTCTCTACACAACACCCCGTTGCGAACACGTGCGTACTCGCACCCGCATGAGAAAGTGAACACTATTGATTAGTATCCCACAGAGTTCGCGCCGCCCTTAACCTCGAAGGTACCATCGATGGCTTGAACGACCGTGGTTAGAGCGCTGACCATAACCTAGCTGCCGGTACGACTGGACCCGAGTTGCTTTTCCAGGCGACCTCGGAAGAAATGATCAAGGCCTACTCAAAGGTGCCGAGGTAGGCATTCCGAGGTGCCCGTGCGACGCATGCTAACATGGAAAGCTAGACCTTACGGCTCTGTCATTGCCAATGAGATATTCAGCTCAGGAATCATATTATCCGAGTGAGTTCCAGCCACTGAGCGTTTTGTTGCCGACTCTCACCTCCCGCTAGTACCGACTTTAGACAGTTTCAGCTCTACCTGAATGTCACTGGACTGGACGTGAGTCTACCCCAACGTCCATTACG